TTCTTTGACATTTTTTTCCATTTTTATATTTATTGCAAACAAATAGGAAACAATTATACTTCATCTTATTTTTTTACTTAGTTATGCATAGCGAAACATATCAAAACACTTTTCTAAGATATTATTTTGGTATTCGATCTTTACTTAATGAGTAGATACCTATTTTAAAATCATTTCATCTATTACTCTACCAAGTACATCTATTTTTATTATATTCCTTAATAATCCGGAAACCTAATCCCATTGAAAAATTTTTATCTGGTACATCTTTTATTTCATTTCTAGCCCGCTTTGAACCCGAATGATTTATTGATCGTGAATGCTAATCTCTTCTCAGACTTCGAGTCCATCCTAATCGTCTGGTCGACCCAGGCCTCTCTATCGCTTCAATCCTCTTCGGCTAGCTCTGGATTTTCAGGCATCCGACCTCCGGGTATCTATCGATTGGTCTGCTTGCGCGATGATTCTGAGTCGGAGCCAAAGATGCACACAACTGACGCATCTACTTCCCCCGGGCTCACGAGCTGCTCAGGAAAAATTGATCTAGTCTTATCTCGCGAGCTACATCTGCCCACTGAACATCGAGATTCCCACGACAGCAATAGTTTTGATGGTGACATCAGTTCAAGCGACTTGGAAATCAGCAGTTCGCCGCTCTCCTTTACCATCGTTCAGACGGCTATCTCTCCGTCAGATTTTTATCTAGCATTTGGCATTGCTAGTGGACTTGTCTGGATTTACCAGATGGAAACACTCGCTTGGTCCACTTGTTTCTCCACTGCCCTGGCCAAGGAAGCAGCGGATGCTCCCAGACATTCAATCTCTGCCTCTGCTTACAAGGCAAGTGATACATGATCGAGGGTAAATCACTGATTTAACCAATCAATCAATCCCTTATCTTTATTCTCCAATCTAGTGGTTTCCTAACTTAGCTCTTTTGCAATGTTGTACAATAAATTCGTTTTTACGAGTCACTGTACATTCTATGTATTCTATTTACGTTTTATGCTATGGTTTATGGTTCACTACACCACAATAAAACATTGACGTGTACCTAAAAAGGGGGTATGCTGGACATTGATACATCGGAGCATTTTATATGTGATTTTGATCTGTTTACTTACATTCTGATTCATGAAAATTTTCGTTCTGGAAATTTGTTTTCCTACGCTTAAAAAAAATGTATATATATATTCACTAAGTTTTGTTATTCTTAGGGATATTTATCCAACTTTATGTCACGTTCGAAGAAAATTTATGTAAGTAAGTTATACTTATCGAATTAAAACCATAGTATGGTATAAAATTTATGGCACCCTACTCATGCTTCAAAATAATCACAGATTTATTTACCATATTTCGTTAAGGTGATGAAGTATTGGTAGTTGGACTTTACCGCAATAACAGGAGTAGACCTCACGCTTCAGTTTAATTTTACATAGCCTTGCCTCCAAAAAATTTATTCTCATCCAGGACAGACTGCAGTTTCGACTTCCCTAAGTTTCATTAGTACTCTCAACGGGACTTTAATTGTGTCAGCAGCGTTTATTCTCAATAAGTTTATCACAACGCCACTGCCACGAGCACCGTTCTTAAAATTCACGTCTGCTCTGTGAACCAAGGACACTCGTGGCGAACCTACTTATAAATTATAAATTGAAATCATAGGCTTAAGTTAGCATCATAAAAGAACCAGTCATTTTTATTCTACGGCACTCTCATCATATGTGTTACTCTTAATTTTGCTTCTTTTTGACGATGTAACTTAAGCTTACACATCTTCGTGTTGCGCTATCATTAATTCCAACCGAATAAATATCCAAATAATTTTTTTCTTTTTGCTTATTCGCTTTTTTACATCTCTTTTGCCCGTAATCTCCTTTACCAAACTTTTTTTCGTGATGTTGATAAGATCGGAGCTGTTTATTACTTTTGACCTGCTTAAAAGTTTTTTCTATATGGCTTTTTTAATAATTTATTTTGTTTCTTATTTTCACTTTTTAAAAATGTATATCAAGTCTTTCACTTCATCGATTAGTCATTCACCATTTTATATTTATTGTTTTAATGCTTTATAAATGTCGTTTATTTTCTCATATTCTTGACATATGCTTTTGCTTCTTACTCTAGTATGCCTTTGCGCAATCGCTGCATTTAACAACTCAAAATTCCAGATTAACGGTTCAGTTATAAATCTTTACCCGGAAATGTATTGGTTTAACCTCGTTTTCCTAACTTTGTCAGAGCGACAGGGAGACTTAGTGTAACGTACCTGGTCCTGCGTCATCTGCCATGCTATTCGTGATTTATAGCGTCGAAAAATTGACTTGAAACGTTCCCAAACGTTTCGCCAGGATCGTCAGTGAAGGCTTTCATCGTCAACACAGATTTGCAACTAATCAGTGACAAGTCAAAGCAATCCCTTTGGCCCATTTTCTGTTCAACCGTAGTGACCTCATTCCTCATCACGAACATTTGGAAATTGTATCAAGTCAATAGTCCTTTCTGG